AAGTAGAGAGTAGAGTATAGAGAGAGAGAAGTAGTGTGTGTGTGTGTGTGTGTGTGTGTGTGTGTGTGTGTGTGTGTGTGTGTGTGCGTGTGCGCTGAAGAGCCAGCCAGAATTTGGATGTAGGATATAGAGATGATATTGATGTTGTTAGACTAAATATTTCTTTTGCTGTGTAGGAAAGCTATAGTACTGTAATGTGTGCACCACTGAGGTATCTATTTACCATATACACAATTTTAAAGAAAGTAGATTTTTTTACCATTTTCATGCTTACTGCTTCATATCGATATACGCACTGCTACATTTTTATAGATCATTCTTCTGCTTGATTAATTCCATTTAATGTGCTGAAACTGACTGGTGTACATATAAAACTACCTGTGGGTTTCTGTGACAAACAGTGTGATCTGATCCCTGCTCTTTAGCACTGTATTAAAAACCAGCTTCTAAAAAATGCTTTTCTGGGGGATCTGTAGGGTGGATGGAGCAATAATGTTTTATAATCATATCTAAAGTCACCAGCTTTTATAGCTTGTAAAGAAAATGCATTTCAGTCTAGCCTTGTTTTTAACATAAGTTTCGGGGCGGGGGGAGAGAGAGAGAAGATATTTTGTATTCTGGAAGGAAATTTCCTTCAGTTTTACAAAGCACATACTAGTCTCCTTGAAATGCCCTTTTATGTTTGCTATTGCAGCAATCTGTGCCTCCTCACTGCAAGATAAAGCCGTGTCATAGGGAATAATGACAGCTTCACAAAGCTTCATTCATAAAAAGCTGATTGGAAAAAGTCTTTCTTCCACTATCTCCTTCAGATCAGAGTCTTGATGCTGTGCCTTCCTGGAAATATATCCACTCCACACCTGAAAAGGATGGCCTCTCACTGTTTGCCACATATTGGCAGACAGCTATTGGCACACCTGTAGCATCTCACTGTTTGCCAGGTATTGGAGCGCTGATAAAATCTCTCCTGGCTCATTCGACAAAATGTTGCTCCATCTTTCCTCTGCTCAATGGCCAGGATCCGTTTTATGCCACAGACTTGATTAAATGTAATGGGGAGGAGCTGGGACGTTGCCAGTGAGGAGAAATCGAGCTTGGTGTATCCCTTTACTCATATGTTTGTAGGACATCAGAACACAAATGTGTTCTGGTGAAAAACTATTATCAGAGCAGAAAATGAGGATTAAGACTTGAAGGAAAAGTTTAAAGTCCAAATGTATTCAGGGGGAGAGAGAATTTCTGTTGATAAAGGCTGTCAGTGGAAAATAGCTCTGACACCATCTAAGAGTAAACACTAGAGGCCAGGAAAACAGTGATATGTGGCCAAAATTTTAACTATAGGATCCCTCAAAACTTTTCAGCCATACATGCAACATTCCCTGGGTAAAATACTTCTCATCCCCTTAGACAATTCATGCTTTCCCTTCCCAAAACCCATCAGTTTCATATTCGTCCCACTCCCAAATCCATCTATCTTTCCATCTCCTCCCCAGCCTGATATCTCACAAACCCCTGCACCCCTTCCTCCCCAGTACCTCTTCTTGGGGGCTCCTTTGCATGGCAACTGCTCTTCATAAAGTGGTGGTGATGGTTTTTCCTGTGGTAATAATAGTGGTAAGGAGGATGCCCTGAAGTCTCTGATAGTAGGGTGGTTGATTGGATGATAATGGGACTGTGCTGGTAGTGGTCTGGGTTGGAGGATGGGCAGCCCTGGCTTCTTGATTGGCACGTGTCCTCTGATTGCTGGAGGTCTCCCTTCAGTTGGTATGTAGGGATAGGGAAACAGGTGCCCCTTGGCTGGTGTGTGGGGAAAGAATAGCTCAGTGGTTTGAGCATTGGCCTGCTAAACCCAGGGTTGTGAGTTCAATCCTTGAGGGGGACCACTTAGGGATCTGTAGCAAAATCAGTACTTGGTCCTGCTAGTAAAGGCAGGGGGCTGGACTTGACTCAATGACCTTTTTTGGGAGGGGGAGGGATAGCTCAGTGGTTTGAGCATTGGCTTGCTAAACCCAGGGTTGTGAGTTCAATCCTTGAGGGGGCCACTTAGGAATCTGGGGCAAAAATCTGTCTGGGGATTGGTCCTGCTTTGACCAGGGTGTTGGACTAGATGACCTCCTGAGGTCCCTTCCAACCTTGATATTCTATGATTCTATGAAAGCTCCGGGCTCCATTCCTTTGGGGGCCAAGGAGGAAGGCACTGGTGGGGGAGAAAGAAGTCTGGGTGCTGTGACTACAGGACTCTCACTCTACATCGGAAGCTTTGCCCAGGGCTGGCTCCAGGAACCAGCGCAGCAAACTGGTGCTTGGGGCGGCCCATGGAAGGGAGCGGCACATCCGGGTCTTTGGTGGCAATTCGGAGGGAAGGACCGGCCGCCGAATTGCCGCCAAAGAATGAAGCAGCGTGGGCGAGCAGCCGCCAAAGTGCCGCTGATCGCGGCTTTATTTTTTCTCTCTCTTTGCCGCTTGGGGTGGCAAAAAAGCTGGAGCCAGCCCTGGCTTTGCCCCACCTTCTCTCGCCGAGCCCAAGTTCAGCTGGAGGAGGTTGAGAAGAGTGTGTGGAGCATCTCCCGTGCTCATTTAGAGGCACTAGTGGGTGACTCAAGAAGGGAGCTTGAGATATCTTAAAAGGGACTGACTTTCAGAAAGCTTTGATCACTCACCCTCTGAAAGTCAGGCCCTTTTAAAATGTCTCAAACTTGTCATCTAACAATGGAAGCACCCAAAATCACTAGTCATGTTTGGAAAATGCAGCCTTACTGAAGAAAAGGAAGAGCTAAGCAAGCAGTTCCACAGGAAAGACAGAGATGGATACTTCTCAAATTTGCAGTAGGACTCCTCATTAAATGTTATATTAATAGCATCCATGGTTATTCAGGGTAGCTCTCTTTCCCCATATAAAGGTTTATGAGACTATTACAGCCTTTAAGCTAACACAGCTGGGTCTTCCAGCTCAAGCAATAGTAGCTCCTGGGTTTAGATCCAGAGGTCCCTCATTGAATCACCCACCCAAGGGTACTGTCTGGATTAACTCTACAGTGGAGGGAGGAGAGAATCCAAACAGTTTCAGACAGAAACAAGGGGATTCGTTTAACAGGCCGGATCCAAATCCCAGTAAAATGAATGGCAGTCCTTCCAGGGACTGCGATGGAATTCGGATCAGAAACAATATCCCATTGGTTCTCTAGGCGATCACGTTGTTTTTGAGGGCACAGCCTTCTGTGGCCAAAAAGAAAGAGCGGGCTCAGGAAGAGAGTTTCATATTAGTGTTGTTTGAAATTCCAGTGCTGCCCGGGTGTATCGTGGGGATATCCTGTTCCAGCTGACTCCTCTTTCTTTGGTTCCTTTTCCTTAATGGCTGATTTCAAAACGTTTTTTTTGGGGGGGGGGGGGGGAAGGGAGTAGGTCACCCTTTGTGTGACTTGTGAGCCTGCGCAAGAGTGATAGCAGCAAAGTTTTAGTAGCAGCTACTTTGGGGCCAGGAACGGAAGGTAGATACTATTAATATCGGTGACATTTGGTTCTTCGTCTTCCTAATGTACTCTGCACGTGCTGGGTATTTGATTTTCTTCGCTGGATTCAGATGAGATGAGGAGGAAAGATATTTCGCAATTCATTGAAATGTTTTCATTTTCTTTTTTCTTTCTTTCCTTGGACGGCTGTTTGTACACAATGACTGAATATCAGAAATAGGTTCCTTTTTTCATCACAGTTACAAGAACTGTTTTCATTTGATGTGACAAAATAAAGCCAGGAC